TCAGCTAAGCGCTGTAGACAAGATAGACGCCATGAAATTCTGTGACACAGACATAGAAAATGACATCTGCAGAATTGTGACAGTCAATTTACAGGCCTCAGAGAAAAGTTGCACTACTGTTGCAATTTTATTTTGCTCTCAGTATTGCTCAATTCTTGACATACTGAACCTATGAAATATACATATGTACTTTCAAACATTCTGCATCAACTGGCAAAAAATCCAAGACATTCTGGTAAAATTTGCACTATAGGGAGCCCAGATACTGAAAAAGTCGCATTGCTGGTGCAATGATAGTAGCAGAGGAGACTCACCATGATTGGACCCCACATGCAATGACCACCACGCACTTCGTTGTGCTATATCCAATATGCGAACTCAGCTCTATGCACTCCACGTTGACGATATACTCGAAGAGAATGGTCTACCGAGACGATAAAAAGTTGTGTCAACGGATCTTGAACAGATGGATAGGTGTTGTCAGAGAGACTCGTCGCCAACCAAGCCCTCGCTTCGGCATCGACCGACCGGGAACATCCGAGAACTCTATTTCTCCCTCGGCCTCCTCGTTCCTGGGACATACCCCGCAGTCGCACTATTCCAGTCTGCTTATGAGAAGGACTACTAAGTACTGAGATTTAGAGGATCTAGAAAGACTCAAATTCAGCGCATCTTCTCGAGCAAGCTATCCGATGATGAGCTCGAGGAGGGGATAGAGAAGGTCTACTTTCTGGAAGTCCGCACTTTCATCGGATTCCCAGGAATTTTTGACGTCGCTCTTCTTGGTGCTAAATCTTCTCACTCTGTAGTAAGTCATTAATTAAGAACTGTACCGAACGTAAAGATACTTACATTCAGACAGGAAACGCATAGAAACCGACATTCAAAATCCAGTTGGATATGATGTGTAGATGTTTCGCTCCCACTGACATTGCCAGTTCGCTGGAGTAATGATATCTCCAAATGAGGCGACAAATTACAAATTCAGATTCGGCCGCAGTTATCAACACTTGTGACAGAGACGCACGGAATGGATTCTCGCTGTTGCTGTGCGCATTGAAAACATCTGATCCTCAACTTGACCACGACAGCGTAAATCTGCTCGGTGGAATATGACTGTCGTGTCAAAATATGTCAAAACAGTGTGTCACTTGTTCTGTCATTCAAGGATCACCTCGCGGTACAGTACGACCTAGAGGACGCCAAGACGTCCAAGGGGAACAATTTCGACGCAGTCAATGATAATCAACGCATTGTGGCCACCAGGCTATACTGTATTCAAGTCATCAATTCGGATCCAATGCTGTTAGGTATTTAGATGCGTATCTGTCTACAATGATTGTTGGACCTATCGAGTTGCATATTATAACAACTGCCTGGATCCGGAAGTCGTATCAACTGTCACCGTTTTCCGAAGCCATGCGGCGGCTTGTGAACTTCTCAGCTCACTCCACTGGGAGATATTGAGATTCTTGGATAACTCATAGTGTCAACCTTCGCTATTCACCATTGAAGGGACCAAATCTGCTCGGAGTCTGCAGTCCCTCCTGCGTGTAGAATGTCTCTTCCTCGACTGTACGTAGACATTCCTCACTTTCCAGACGGTCATTTCTATTAAGATTTTTTGCGTACAGTCGGGTCAGTGCAGTGGTGCTCTGACACTTGACTCGTGTCTATCCATTAGAGCACACTTGCTGAGATGACGCTATGGCTATCAACTTTGCGTGCATCTATTTCCGGTGGCGCACTGGGGCCAGCGTCTGAAACTTGGCGCTCACGATCGTTGTTACATGTTGAACGTTGGATGTTCATATCTCCTCCTTACCCCGCTCAGGGATATCATAAGCCGCTCGATCTTGTTTATGCTCACTCAGCTCATAATAAAGTCAGTGCGCATTACGAGGGAATGTGCGCGTTTCAGAGCAGATCATATCAAGCTACAACATGACTTTCGGGAATCCAGATGCCGGATTTTAAAATCCGTCTGGTTTTTGGCATAGCATACGAAACGTTTTTGTCCTTATTCTTACATAAATGGGCTGAATCTCCCTGTTATGAGATGTGAGACCGATGGTGCCATTCGCCACTTTATGGTGTGCTCGAGCCTTTTTCATATATCCACACAAACGTCTAGTCCGTATAACATACACCAGGACACCGACAAATCCCACAGATACTAGACCTCATTCTCTGATTACTCCTACAATTTTTTGTGAGTGTTTCAATCCGGGATGAGTCGGTATGTCATCATCATAGAGTATGATACATACGCGTTCGTGTTGTACGCGAACTGTCGTACAGAGTGGTCATGCACATCCGTCGGCTACGAAACATGTTAGACCAAAAGCGAAGGTCTTCAATTTTTAAACTAGATGTACTCACGAACTTCAGCATCGTCAGAAGTCACGAAACACGGTTCTGCTTCAGCGTTCATCGCAAATGCAGCGACAACGATGATAGTGAAAATAAATTTGAAGAGTGACATGGTAGTTTGGAAGGATTATGAGGCTGGGATGCGGTTCACCTATAACTCGACCTTTTATAAAGCCTCTTTCGAGTATTACATGAGTCTTTCTAGTGGATCTAAGGGCAGATGTTTCAACAAAATGGTTCCTTGATGGAAGCGTACTGTTTCTCGCACGCATGCATTCCAGGTGTATTCACGACAAAGGATGTCTTTCGCAAACATTGAAATCGGATGAGCGCGCAAACCATGTCGCGCAATGAAGTCAATTCACGTACGTTTCTATCAGCTATAGTCTGACATGATGACAGCGAGGTAAGATCTGCAAACACGCCTTTCGCGTGATGAAAGCATGACGCGGACTGACAGATGGAGCGATGTACAAATAGTATGGCATATCACGGCAGAACTCAAATAAATGTTCATCATGCTTGTCAATAAAGATAGGCGCAAAGGTCAGGATTTTTACTGTGCGCATAGACATGAAGCCGCGTCAAATTTCATCTGGTTGCATCACGTCTTATAAGCTGAGTAGTACACGACCTGTCAGAGAAATTCACTATACTTGTCAAGCATTCTCAACTCGTATGCCGATATCTTATTTCTTTTGTTCAGAACTTTGGGGACTTCGACAGTACAACTCGTATTACGACGTGCGAGTAAAGGGTAATCTCATTGCCAAAACAATGGAAGCGGGGAAAAATTTGTAATGAACTCACTCAAACTGTAACAGCTAAATTGTGGAATTCTGTGTGATGCAGATGGCTTGGATGCAAAATCAGACTCCAGTTGAAACACACATATAATGCATACATACCAGAAGCGGGTAGGTCCTTGTTCTGCCATCATTCCGGGTCGCAATTTTCCTCACCAATTGGTGCCTCGCAAGATAACTAAATTGTGATCACTTCCTCTGTTGCACATGCGAATATTCTATACCGGTCTTGGGCGATCTCCTCCCTTACTTCGATGGTGTCGATTTTGGTGAGGCGCGGAGGGCGTGTCTTACAATTGAGCACGCGCGCGTCCAGTAGAATAGAGGCGCTCAAGCGATAAAGACTAAGCATGAAAGGCCTCTAAGTCGTCGAAAAGGACGACACCGGTTCAGCTATCACATGAAGCTCACACGCCTCTATCCCGAGGTCGATTGCTCAGAATTTAATAATTGGAGTGACCTGATAAAAGAGACATTCAGATATGAAGCAGCTCTGACCAAGACGTATGTATGCTGACCGTGTTACTATTTGAATATGTCTGTCTTCTGGGACGACCGTTCTACTGTGACTCATGTGTGCACGGTCACTCCGGAAGACTCTTTCGTTGTCTGCGGAGTCAACCCGTACAACTAGCATCGACCAGCTGTTCAATTTCCTCTGTACTAGAGGAGATTGTCGGAGAATGTTGGCGAATCACATGAATTGACAAGGTCGACGAAGACGATGCATATTTTGTCGGATAAGGGGAACATACGGGCGCGTCATCATCCCCATTCCAACGCGTAGTACTCGGCGATATACGGAACGAGACCTGGTAATGAACATTCTAAAAGACTAAAGAACAGTGCTCAGCTATCTCAAAACCCACGGGTAGCATATGCCAGATGCTCACCTTGAAGCAAGATGTTTTGGCCCACAACGTGAGCGACTCGTGGGTATATGGGAGTATCACACGGGTTATTGATTCAAATCAACTTATAATTGGGACGTCAATTTACTATGCCGTTTCAGCTGCCATCTCCATGGGTCTTAGCAAGTATGAGTATCATCGGGTATGTACATTACTTATCTGACCTTCGTTTTGCGACCTTCGACGTCTTAGAATTTTGCTCCGAGAAATACTGAAGCTCAGACTGAGTCTCGATCTGCCTTCGACCGTTCGCGACACATTGCCACGGACATAAGTGTCAAAGTGAGCTCATGGTTGGCTGCCCACCAGTACTGTCTGATCTCTAACCAGAGCGCCAATAATAACAGCATGAGATACATTATTATACAGTTATACTACTCTTCTCGGACTCAATTCCATTGCGCACCCCACTCGAGCCACTTCTCTTGCTCCTCCTCCAATTTATCATAGAGCTTTCCCCAGTCTTTACAAACCAAACT